ACTCTCTTGACTCTTGACTCTCTTGACTCTTGACTCTCTTGACTCTTGACTCTCTTGACTCTTGACTCTCTTGACTCTTGACTCTCTTGACTCTTGACTCTCTTGACTCTTGACTCTCTTGACTCTTGACTCTCTTGACTCTTGACTCTCAACTGAGAACTGAGAGAACTGAGAACTGAGAGAACTGAGAACTGAGAGAACTGAGAACTGAGAGAACTGAGAACTGAGAGAACTGAGAACTGAGACTTGACTCTTGACTCTCTTGACTCTTGACTCTTGAAATGATTTGTCCAGTCTAATGATTTCAACTCAGGGGGGATTTATTGCAGGTCAGTCTTACTTCCTATCCATATCGCTTTGAAAGTTGTATTTTCAATTCCGACATTTCGTAGAAATCATCAATAGCAGACGATATTTCCATAATACTAGATTTTTTCCATCCAGAATGAGAGTTGTGTCATCTGCGAATTCTTGTAGTTAAGGACAGATCAGTTCACCTAATTTCAAGGCGGAAATCCCTTGATTTTGTCGAATCATAAATGCAAATATTTCTGCACATAGCAAAAATATGTAAGGGGAGAGGGGATCACCTTGTATGCATCCTTTTTGTACTGGAAAAACGTTTGAAGTCTTTCCATTTACACAAGCTATCGAGTTGGAATACAAAATGTCCACCCATTTTCTGATTGATTTTCCGAAGTTGAATGCCTCCAAGACGCGAAAGTAAAACTTGTATGAAATAGAATCAAAATCCTTCTAGTAATCTAACAAAATAAGAAGTTCAGTAATATCCAGTCTTTTTGTTTCCCACATGCTATCATACACATTCTCGCATAGTCAAAAATATATCTGCCCTTTAAAAATTCCTTCTGGTATAGATGCACCAGTCTTGATATCACATTTAAAATTGTTTGCTATTGTTGTAGCTCCAAATACTTGTCTCCATGTCTGGGATTCATGCATGATACATGGTATTTCAAAGGAAAAGGTGTGTCAAATCACCATTTTCATGACAGTGTTGAAAGCCGGGGTGACTACAATAAATATTGAATGAAGTACTTTTTGTCCGATAACATTTGTCCTTCTTCCTGGCTAGTCTACATCAGCATAAATGAACTCCATGATTAAAAAAAATTGGGGAACTGCATTGTCCAACTGAAACCAAATATTTTCCTGCTGTGAAATGCTAGCGACACGAGACTACCATCGCTGCATATCTGAAGGCCAGGACTATCAAATGACGCAACAACTGTCATTATAGTTTGTATCTAGCCGATATGAAGCAAAAAGCGTCCCAAATCTCGAAACATTGCGCAGTATGTTGGAGGCACTGTATATGCTAGTACCAATTCAAAAACTTACTTTCGGAACAGCCCTTACGATAATGTCCCTTACGAAAATGTCATAGGATTCCTATATATTCCTTTAGGAATATATGAGATTTCTATAAGATTTCTATAGGAACCTAAAGGAATCCTATAGGATCCTATATGCCTCATAGACCTATAGATTTCCTTATAGAACATATAGATCCCCCTATAGAACCTATGGAGTTTCCTATAGAACCTATAGGGTTCCCTATAGAACCAATAGGGTTCCCCATAAGGCCTATAGGTTCCCCATAGGACCCAAAGGGTTTCCCATAAAACCTATAGGGTTCCCTATAGAACCAATAGGGTTCCCCATAAGGCCTATAGGTTCCCCATAGGACCCAAAGGGTTTCCTATAAAACCTATAGGGTTCCCTATAGGACCTGTAGGGAAAGAGAGTTTTGTAGATCCCCAAATGTCTCGCCTTGCCTCATTGTAGCAATCAATAAACTTCGACAGTTGCTTATTTGTCATTCCCATCTTCCAGATAGAATCATGGAGTCTCATGAAGAAATATGCCCTTATTCCTTTTGAAACCCACGTACGAAACTGAGGAGACTCTATCCAAAAGGAGTTTCAGTAAAGAGACGTGCTCGCAGGATCTGTCTTCTACTTCCTTAGGTCGAGAGAAGAATACTACTTCTTCCTACCGAAGCAAGTAGACGTGCAATCCAGCGACCTATGTAGGGCGGGGCCATAAATTATGCAGACCCCGCAGTACTGGTATTAATAATGCATGTGCCCCTACAATGGAAAAACCCCTAATCGATTTTGATTCACACTGAAATGCCGAGCCAATATTAACCCCGGTCGCCTTTTCCGTCGTAATGCCTGGGTTTTGAAACCCAAAATATCCTCCCTGAATCCTATAGGTCAATAGACTTATAAGACCCTATAGGGATCCTATAGGATCCTAAAGGATCCCATAAGTTTTTCGTGTTTCAAAAACCTATAGGAAAGTCTATAGGTTCCCTATAAGAAATAACTATAGACATTTTCGTAAGGGAGGTGGGTTGCAAATAACAGCCAAATCGTTTTGATAAGAATGTAGTAGGTTTCATCTTATCTGCACAATATAAAAAGTCTAAAGGTGGATAGGATATGGAAGGTTTTCCCCGAATTTGAAGCAAATCCATACAATTGGTCATAGCTTGTGCTCAACGTGGCTCCCACGTTCTCGGGCGCGAACATGCAGTCATTGTCGCCATTCCTGAATTGTTCTATCGATGATAATGCTATGCTCCGAATGTGCGGTGCATATTCTTATCAGTCTAGCCTTAAAAGGTGTAGCACGAGACACATTGGGTCAACTTCCTTCAAATCCGGCAAAAGTTTCATTTCTTTTGTGCGCGTACTTAGTATAGACTGAAATTATTGGACTGATCGAAAGAAATGTACGTTCCTTCCTAAAAAAAAAAGTGAATCGGCACATTTCTCCTTGAAACTCCATGTAAATTGAGTCGCATAAAGATTTTAACCTAAAATTTAATTTCAACATTTTGAAATGCTCCAAGATAAACTTTAAACTTTCTTGATTCTGAGTAACTCCTACTTACTTTTTACACTCATAAGTCACATACTTTCATATACTTTTATATTTAAGTCATATACTTTCTACACTCATAAGTCACCTACTCCTGATGCTGAACTTGAGTGCACAATGCATTCATATTCGCTTATAAAAAAATGTTCAATATAGTTAACATATGATTCCATTGCTGAGAACCACTGAAATGATTTGCTGAATTTCGGGGGGGTTGAAGACGTATCCCAAGGTGCGACTATGGATGATTTCAAAATGGATGAACTGAAGCTGATTGTGGAGAAACCAGGAGGGTTCGACCGTGAGAACACATCCACGGTGAATGTGACCGTTTGTGCCACCTCCACAGATTCCAGTTCCTGTCATGGAAGTTCCCTTCACAAAGCGATCATCAACGTAAGTTCCTTATTCACAGTTCCAATTGTTCTAAATCATTTCACTAATAATTTTTAAGGTTTCGATAACTCCATCCTATATATAACTCGCAACAACTGCAGATTTGTTTCCGCCCATTTTTTTCCATGTTTATCTCGGAGACAGAGGCGAGTGGAGTCTCGTAACTTTCTAGGGTGTTAGGAGTTCCCCATATACTTTTCATTTTTGACATTTCTTTTAACAATAATAAATAATTTAGTTCTTTGTTGAATAAACTCATTTTATAAATTTCAAATCGTTTTTGAAAACATATTTTGCCCATACGAAACAAGTTTTGTAAGCATAGCTTCAGTAGGAACAGATACTTGGGCCATTTTGACGTCCCGTTCCCAGCAAAGAGACCCCTTTTTGAACGGTCCCTATCATGTTTCTGAGTCATGACTTGCCAAACTCAAGTCCTCAAATACAACTCGCTTAGTTTGCTTTAGTCACTGCTTGATAATGGTAGTGTAGCCGCTGACTGAACTCGTGAATATCGGAATATACGCGTACGTATATTCCGATAATTGCCTCTCACTCTCGAGAACGGGATGGAGGTAGTGCTGCTTTATATCGTTGAGAGGGCGGCAGAATTTTGGAGCTGCTGACTGAGCTCGGAAATCCCCAAGAAACAGTTCGTGGAAGGCATCCGCGGATTGGGCTGTCCGTCTCACGCTCGCACTTTCTCTCCGGCCTTCGCAACAGTCGGATCCGTTCTTGAGAATAGGAGAGAGAGTCATTGTACTACTTGCGCACCCACCCACCCCTCCTCCCATAACTAAGGAATGTTCGCATAATGTGAACGATGTTCGATGTGAGCTTTCATGCAGGAGAACCTCCGCACAGTACTTGGAGTCCCGTTTTCCTCCGTGAGAAGGAGAGTAACTCTAGAGGGTGTAAGCGGCGGGATCCCATCAGGGTGGGACAGAACAGGATGGCTCATTCCTGGATCGCAAGGATGCCGCGGTTGGGTCGTTACCATCCTGTATCCATATCCGTATATTTCACTCATAGGCACGCAAAGTGATGGAGGTGGTCTTTACGGACGAACCGGACAGGGTTGCAATCAATAGGGAAAAGCGCCGATAAATGTAAGGGCGAAGATCTCACCCCGGCCAGGAAGTTATATTCCCTTCAACGGGATGAATGGGAACTACAAGATTTGTACGTGGTGAAACGTAAATAATGGGAAAGAGGGGCTGCTGCCTATAGCGATGAGAGGGCAACTGAGTTTTAGGGCCGCCCAATGTACTTGGGATTTCTTGCCGAAGAGTACGTGGAAGGTTTCCACGGGTCGGCTAGCAATATATATATAGAAGGAAGCAAACGGAGACGAAGCGCTCTGCAAGGACCAGAGCTTTCCAACAATTTTATTTTTCAGAATTGGCATATTAATTTTTCGTTTTCTACTTTTGGGGAGCGAATTTACAAGGAGGCTTAGAAGGGTTTTGTTAAAAATCTGATCACCGGTCTACCGTCAATTCATCGCGCTCAATTCATCGCAGGCCGAACTCATCGCACGCCAAACTCATCGCACGCCGAACTCATCGCACGCCAAACTCATCGCACGCCAAACTCATTGCAAGCCGTATTCATCGTAAACCATTTTCCACGGGCATAATAATAATGCAATAATTGATCATTTTAAAATTATTGATTTATTTTTTTATTTTCTTTTGACAGAGAATGTCAATGTTTAAACGTAGAATCGCCTCACATCTGCAGCAGGAAATTACGTGCCAATGCCCTCAGGTACTCAACAGGTTCTCGTGAGCAATACTCTTGTACAATGGTTCGCACTCTTTTGGCCGTGTCTCGATAGACTTTTTTCCATGACTACCCAAGTCTCCACATTCCCTTTCTTGTAGCCGATGGTTTGCCAAAACTTCGTCCTTCTTAACTATATCAATGAAATTGAAAATGGACGCATGACTGGCAGCCATCATTGAACTGAATGCTGTATGCCATCCCTCAATGGCATTGTTCGTTTTGGGCAGGCCATCTTTCACAGAGGAATATAAATTCCATATGTCGTGGGAGAACATTGGCTGCCTCCTTCCACCTCGACGATCCAATCGCCCTATACATACGTCTTCCATGTAACTGATTATCGGTAGGAGTATCTCTTCGTTGTCCTGGAAATACTGTGAGTCCAAGAGTTCTTAGAATACGGCGACAACATCTCCTGTCCGAACAAACGCCGAAGTCGTCAACATTCGCAATTGAACTGCGAATTCTGGATCTTCTGTGTATTTACTTTGCAGGCCATATTCCTGGACTTTACTCCAGAGACATTACGAAAAATGAAAGAAGCAGCCTCGGAGATGGGACTCTGGAAACTAATTCTGGAATGCTTTCATTGCTGGACGCTTGTAGTTCATCATCAATGTAGAGGGTCGTAGCCCGGGACGCAGTCTTTTAAGCTGTCCTAGGACCTCAATGTAAGATGTTTCTGTCCTCCTCATCATCAATACATAAAGGGCTGGGAAAAACTGGGTGTTCCTCGTGAAATGCACCGTGTAGAACTGATTGAACAGAGTTGGCACGGTCTTGAATGTTCCATCAGCAAACCAGTGGGGGCACGAAGCAAGATAATCAAGACTTCTCTCTGTGCCGAAAGTTTATATCCGATCCTCTGAAGGTGCGTTATCAAATAGCAGGAAACGACGCCCGTCCACGGCGAGTATGAAGGGTGCTTCAAGAATGAGTTCTCCCGAATTACGAGGATTGATGGGATACCTTCTGACCTGATGCCGACATCTCAGGATTGTTCACTTCATATTCCTCACTGATGGTGCTTGTCCAACAGCTGCTTCGGGAATATCAGCACAAGTATTTGCGAAAATAACTTGTGTAGGTAATTCAGTCACTGACGCCTCATTCTTCAGCTGAGTTACGGCTTAAGCACCGCTACCTCAGCAGCATCAGGCACGTGATTGTGTGATTGTGATTGTACCATGTGACCTTCGGAAACATGAACTCTTCTTTTACACTTCTTCTTGTACCAATCTTTACACTTTAAAATCGTCTTTTCCAGTGAGCTCCTCTCCTTTGTATACATATAGTCACTGTGAATCAACATCGCATGTCCCCTCTCGGTCTTGCAAGTTCATTATGAGGGATTCCAAGAAACTAATTTAAAAAAAGAATAAATAAATAAATGCAAAAACGCTGAGTTATCTGATCAGAACTAGAACTATACCATAAACTAAAGTATAAAGAAAACCGGAAACTACTGAAGTAATAGCACCACTCAAGCCTGAGTGATTATACTGAATGTCAGTCGCAGAATGACTGAAGAGCAACTTGAATGATAGTCACCCCTACCCTTAACCCTATCTCCGATGCCAAGTAGAGACAAATGTGCCTACTCACGGAATGCGATGGGAACTGTGCGCTCAGACTCGCTTTGTAAGGAACTTCTTGTGCACTAGTGGTAACGACGGATGAGACTGATTGGAAGAGTTAAGGACAGTTAAGGGTGGATGTCTAACTTAAGTAGCATTCTTTTACCTGATTCCAGGAAAGGAGGGAAGATCGAAGGAGATGTGAGTATTTTCTCCTATATTTGTTTTAAGGGTTAGGGGGAGTGAAGGCTTGGGAAAATGACAGGGAAGATATTTTTGTAGCATCATCTCTTTTGCTAGCAAATCCGGATTAGGGGGAGAATGGCGCAGGGGATAAGAAAACTCGTCCGCATGGACAGAAATTCCGGGAAAATGACGTCCGGATCAACGAGAGTCGACTGTTCATAGTGAAATTTTCATACTGAAACAAAAATTAGTTCTTTTATCATAGCATGGAAAATGGTTTGCGATGAATATGGCCTACGATGAATTTGGCCTGCGACGACTTTGGCCTGCGTTGAGTTTGGCCTGCGATAAGTTTGGATTGCGATGAATTGAGCGCGATGAATTGACGTAGAGTCCTCAAATTCAGATTTGTGAATCGCAATGTATCTCATCTTTGCAGTTCAATGATGTCAATGACGAACCAGCGTATTTCGAATTGGAGCAGGATTCAACTTCTGTGACGACGGGCAACAAGTTCGAAGAAGTCATCAAATCATTCCCCGTCTGTCTCATAAGTCATTCTCATTTCATCTTCATGTGTTTTCTCTTACAGTTTAATTCATTATTTTCTCGCACTTGTGTTCATTCGCGTTCTCCTGCCCTATGGCAGCTCCTAGCTGCCATATTCCTCAATGCATTTTTGCAGAAAATTCACATATACTAGTATATTTGTTTTAAGAAAAAATCCTCATATTAGTATGACTCACTGAACAGAAAAGTCAGATCTAAGTAGGCACGTGTTTATCCAATCGAATATTGTGTCATTTTTCCTGAGGGACCAACGAGGTCAATCAATTAACATCCCCTTGGGTCTACTTTTGTAATCGTTGCGTACACAGTCTAAGAAGTGGAAGTCATTAAAGCAAAATTATGGGGCCTCAGGACCTATTCCAATTTATTTGAAATATAATTATTTGCTGATACCTTTATCGATCTTCCTTGAAAGGAAGAAATGGCTACGTCCTTTCTCTTTCAGGGTTTCATATATGAAATATATTAAATACAGTGGAACCTCGCTAAACGAGCATAATTTGTTCCCGAATCTTACTCGTAATGCGAAACACTCGTTAAGCGAATCACTCGTTATGGGAGGTGCTCGTTAAGCGAGGTTTGACTGTATATGAATATACAGTCAAACAGAGTGATTCGCTTAACGAGTGTTTCGCATTACGAGTAAGATTCGGGAACAAATTATGCTCGTTTAGCGAGGTTCCACTGTATATGAAACCCTGGCTTTGCAAACAAGATGAGATTTCATCATCTTTGGAAGTGATTCAATTCAGAATCGCTAGCCCATTCCCTTCATCCCACCCATCAATATCCACAAATGGAATACGAGATCCGATTGGTGGCAAATCCGTCACACCGAACCCCACATGCATCTCAACTCCATCTGGTCCCCATCCTCCACCTTAACTATTTGCTCCATATATATGGAAATATATTATTGGCATACTGCACTGCAATAGAAGTTTGCAGATATCTGAAGGTGGGATGGGATCTCTGCTTCTTTGTTTCAATATGGCTCGCGAATCAAGGGATCATCCTGACCTTGCGTTGAAATTAGCAACATTTCTTCGAAATACCCGAGCAATATTATGATGAGATGCCAATGAAATCAGAAGTTCCATTTTTTTGAAGCAAAGAATTATAATTGCGAATTATAATTATAATTTCACAAAAGCATTGGTAAACCCTACATGAGACCGACTTTAACCTTCACATCCCCCTACTTGCTCACCTGTGGGGTGGACAAGTTCGACTGAGGGAAATTCACCTGCATTCAAATTCCATATCAATAAGTTTTCTGGAGAAAATTCAGTAGAAGTTCAGAAAGTTTTGGATGAGTATATCAATGGCATATTTTGTGAGTATGGCCAATGGGTCTCCGGACGTCCGCATCGGAGAGTGTGCTCTTAACATGTTGACCGCCATGAGGCTCACCGGTGCGCCCCACTAAGTCCCTTTTCCTGCGCCATGGGCGCACCAGTGCGCCCACTTATTTTCCTTTGTTGCGCCTCGGACTACATACGTGCGCCTCTGTGCTGTAGAGGTTTTGTGAGGCCGCGGTCCAGGAAAGTAAAATATGTTCCTCAATTACATGTACCCTTACAGAGGGTTTTGAAAATATGTGTGGTGAGGCCTACCGAAGCGCCTCATGGCGCAGGAAAGTCAGCTTCTTAATCAATGCGAAGGGTTCTTTTACACATGACGTAGACTTACAAAGAGATAAATTCTTCGAAATTTTATCAAATAATCTTATTTTTTAAATACAGAAAATAGATTCCACGAAATAATTCTTGATATTCGGAATCAAACCTCTAAAGTTACAACTTCAGAAGCACAACAAAATCTTGAAAAGTTCAACAAATGCACGATTCCACAACTGTGTATTTCATTGAAGCATGGCAAACATAGGACTTCAAAGGTGGAAACTCTCTTAGTCTGGCTTTGAGCGATCTTCCGCCCATGAACTGGTTTCGTTCTCTTGTAGCACAACTGGCACTTCCGGTGTGTTGCCTTCTTCGGTCCTTTGACTTTCTCCAGCTGGTGTCAAGCGGTACGTCCTCTCGATATGCTGGGTCCACCTGGTGTTGGCGGTGTCCTATATCCTCCCGGTATCAGGTGGACGTCCTTTGATTCGTCTTCTTCCTTCTCAGAGTCCTCCTTCATTGCTGTGTCGGCCGAAAGATCATGTGCATTTCCCTCGAAGAGCTGCAGAGCCATGTCTTCCTTGAATTTAGTTATTTTCATCTTCTTGCCACTCATCATGTTATACAACACAAGAGAATTTACCATCGCCATGCTCATGAGCAAGCCATACAACCATCTGTACCACTTCACGGTTCGTCGCAATGACGATCCGTACAAGTTCATTTGGTCCGATAAGTCGGTGAACGCCTTGCCTCTGTTGTAATCCATAATGGCCAATGGCTTCTTGACGTTCCCCCCACTTCGCTCCCCCCCCCTTCCCCCCGCTTCACTACTGTCATGGCATCAGTATGTTTGATACTCAGTACCAATGCGTCCCGCTTGTCCTTCCATTTGAGGACAATTTAGTGGCACTCCGCTGCGCGTTGACTTCACCCTTGACAAGGTGTTTCTGGACGACCTGGCTTGGAGTTCCTTTGCGATTGGAACGCGAAGTTCCCACCAATGCGTAAACCGTTCATTCATAGCATGAGCCAGTGACACGCTGGTTTACCAGTTGTTCATGTAGAGTGTCCTGCCAAAGTCAAGGAGGGGGTCAATGAGCCCCATGACACCTCGACACGTGATGTCGAAATGGGTGAAATCGCCTCTTGATATCACTATCTTGAATCTTGAATCTTGACGTCTTCCTCTGGACAGAGACACGTAGAGCTTCCTTCCCCGCATACACGTTCATCCCATATGTGTAGCCACTCGTCGCGCACAGCTTGAAAACTTTCACTCCATACTTGTGCCATTTGTATGGCACGTACTGGCGAAACACGAGCCTTCCTCTCCACGGTATCACTGTCTCATCCACGCATATTTCTTCATTTGGTGTTATGGCTTCCTGGAAAACACGCAGAACCTTGTCGCCCGAGGAGCCGCTGCACCTTGTGAAGGCGATCCCCTCCTGCAGCTCTCCTTGTGTGAGCGGTGTAACATAGGCAGAAGTAGCTCAAATCGGTTTCTGGGCATGATAGAGCTGACCTCATTCTTGTACAGCCGACTTGTGGATCAGTAGTCTTTCAGATTTGGCAACTGTGCAAGGCCCATCCACACCAGCATTCCATGGAATTTTCTCATTTCTGAAATGTCCATGTCAGTCCAATTTTTTATTCGTGACTTGGGACCAGCTGATTGAAGCTGTGCGTCTAACTTTTGTCGAGCAAAGCGGTTTCTCCCTACGACTAAAATCTGCAAAATGTCATCGTTGACAAAGAAGGAAAAGAAATTGTATGGAGATTTTCGAGATTTTCCACTCAGCTTGTCAATCACCGTAGGACTGATCCGGATTGACCATTGGCAGATGTGAATGGGAAATCTTCAAATTTCCTCTAACAGGTCCCCAGTCACATACCTGGTGTGGCATTCCAACCTCTTCATCTCCTGACTCACCCAAGTCTGCGGAAGGGGCACAGTCCATTGGAATTGGTGTATATCTTCCTCCTTGCCCACGACCACGACGAGGGACATTGTCCTGGTTAGTTCGTACATGGCGACAAATACGCTGTTCATTGCTGGCAGTGACAACAGGTGTCAGTGGTAGTGCATCATCACTCACTTTGCTTGAATCACTTCCTTCATTATCACCATCAGACAAGTAACCTGGGCCCTCAAGAGAATCGTCCACAGACATTTCATATTCATAATCATCATTGGCATCATCTTTACTCATTATTTCTGCACTGTAGTATTTTCTTCATTCTTTCTCTCTTATCTCTAATCATTATTACCACTTACAAGATCCCTAATTCACTTCACACGTGACTATTTCGCTTCACTATTTCGCTTCACTATTTCGCTTCACTATTTCGCTTCACTATTTCGCTTCACTATTTCACTTCACACTTCACTAATTGCAAGAGAAACAATATACTGTGCCTAAAAACTATACAACCAGCGCAAAACCTGCAGAAATGCTTCCTACCGCGTGGTCGGTGTTCTACCATCCGGAGAAATACTCCAACGCGTGACGTCACAGAGAGCTGCGAAACGGGTAGCGTCAGAGGCGCCGCAAGCGCGCGAAATTTGAACAAGATAAACTTAGAGAATGGCCCCATAGTGTGTTAAAACTTGTAATGCTCACCGGTGCCCCTCGTGGTTAACCTAATTGCATTCCACACGCCATGAGGCACACCGGTGCGCCTCATTAAAAAGTCTCCAAAAGGCCACTTAAAAATGCAAATAGCATGGAATGATCAAAGTACGTTGTTAAGGAGTCTCCTAGGGATATGAAAATTACTTTTTCCTAGAAAAGACACCAGGCCAATATGACAGTGGCGGTCAACCTGTTAAGGAAGAGTACTAGTGTACTCTTCCGAGTTCACTAGAGCTCCAAGGTGTGGAGGCGACTCGGAGATGCATGGCGGCATTAATTCCCCTCAAAGCTAGAGATTTACTTATGAAAATTCGCATAGATGTTGGAGAAAAGTTAATATACATTTCACATAATATCAATATAAACATGTTGCTTGGGATGTGAACGGGAGTGTCAATATTATGTAAAATTCTCTTGAATTTTCTATCACTGTTTGCATATCACAGACATTTCATTTCTGCAAACATATTAACAATATATTGATGGAGGTTTGCGTAAAATAAATATAAAATGAACAAAAAATTAACATTAATTTGATATAATATTGACATAAACATGGTGCTTGGAGGAGTCCTATAGGATCCTATTTGAATCCTATAGGATTCTAAAAAAAAAACTAAAAGATTTTTATGTTTAAAATATTGCTTGGATACTACAGGATCTTTTCGTAAAGGTTAGGCAGCTTATTTCGATGAAATTATACATTTTACCAGTTTCCGTATTTTTTTAATCCTCTTTTCCCGTTGCAGACAGAGGAATGTACTGTGTCTAAGCACGAGAAGAAGAAAATAAATCAGGAAATCAGAAAATGCCTTTTTCATTCGTTGATGCTAGACAAAAAGAGGGAAATAAACCAAAGCTCTTCATAGGTCTCTATCGAAGGATACAACAGGCCTGAATGTCTCAGCAAGATCCCCATTGCATTGAAGTGTAAATTACTCCTAACTTAAACAATAAAAGTAACATTATAAGTCATACGCAAATGGGAAAAAAGTTGCGGGGAGTTTGAAGAGCGCTAAAATTTGAGGATGAGACCTTCAGGCCTATTGCCTCCTAGTATTAAGTATTTCGCCTTTTTGACGCCATACATTTTAATATCTCCCACACTTCTCTTAGTTGCATGACCCGGACCTCAATCCGACTTATAAATGCAACATCGACGGGGCTGTCAAATATGACGATAATTCCTTGAGCAGCATTAATGAGCCCTTCAAGGTCAGGGCTACTCAAGATACATGTGACCTTAGCTTGAACTTTGAACCCTCTTCAGCTTACAAAGGCCAATTCTCCTTAACCCTTATGGTCAAGGACATCAAAGACCCTGGTGAGTCACTATTCATTCATTGAAAACAATAGAAAAATTTAATTCAGATATTTATGAGATGCTTTCGTGTTATTTTTCGCTTAAATGTATTTTCCAATCCAATCGTGAATTCCCATTTTCCTTTCTTAAACGTTAATGATGATATATTGCTCTTGATTATTCGGATGTTTCTCCGTTCTCTTCTCATTCTTGCAGTTGGTTCGAATGGGACAATGGAAGTAACAATTCGCATGATCAGCCCGGCAGATCGCATAGAGTTCAAATTTGACAATACCGTCCAAGAGGTAACGGATAAACGCAATGAGGTAAGGAAAATTTGATCCTTTCGATTTTATCCTCTAATAGGCGAAGCAAGAACTATCAACGGCATATACTTAGAAATGAACATATATCGCAAAATATATTCCTTTGAAACTCCAGGTTCATCATGAACCAATAGTTTTGCAGAATCTCCTTCCTCGTTATAAAAAATAGCATTGCATCTAATTAGGAAACCATAACCGGAACGGAAATTCGCCATTACCTACCTCCAGAATATATCCAGGAAATTCTTAATCAGTTCGAGTCAAAGAATCAAGTGGATCAGTCTTCACGTTCGGGAGAATGGATCTATCTCCCCTTCACAGATGATGCGCTAGCAATGTAATTTTGTATGTTTCCGCTACCAACGTTGCAAGCTTCTATCGAAGAACTTGACTGACACCTTCCAAAAGAATTTAAGTATGTGAAAGTAGTTTTCTTTTCATATTTTGCCTGAAAAAGGCTGAGTTAAAGTAAAAAGCCCTCGTTCCCCCACAAACAAAGGGTGATAATACGGGAGACATCACAATACCACAATTTGTTTTCTCACTCTTCTTGCTTCCTTGCCAGAGAAAATAAAGTTTCCAGAAGACAAGAACATGAAAAATGATGAAGTTCACAGCTCCACAGTCTATATTCTATATTCTCTTGCTGAAGTAACCTAGAATTAGGGAGTTCATTTACTGCGAATAAATATTTAATATTGCAAGGGAATCATGAAAGGTGAAAAACACGTATCGGTTATCGATAATACGTATAACGAGGATTTTAAGGACACCAATTAACAATTGTAAGTGGTTTAGTGTTCCATTGGTGTATTCAATTCCTGTCTATGGTCGAGGCACCCTTGATAGCATATCAATCTCCAAAAAAGTAGGAGTAATAGCAGCCATATGAACCACATAAGCCACTTGAGAGTTTTAACGCTAAGATGGCAAATATTAAAGATCAATGTAAGCCTGAGCAATCGTCCAAGGGTTGGATATAAGCTTGCTGAATCATTCCCATCAGGGCAAGTACCGCCAATGTCGAACTGTATCTGTAGTATGCAAGNCCTCTAGAGTGAACAACGTAGCAATAACACACACTTCCTCCAATGACTGAGGAGGAAGGAACATGTTCATGAGAATGGCGTAAGCCTACACCTCCATCGGGGGGAGGGGGGGGGCTAGGCAGCAGACATAAGCTCATTACTTCAGTTTCATGGCGATAATTCCAATTCGACTGTAGGGAACTTTATCGTTAATTTTATATTCTGGCGAAAGGACTCTATGGCAGTCCCTTTTTCAAATTCTTCTAAAGGTTATATACAGTTGTCTATGAAAAAACCGTATTAACCGTATATGCAGCCTGTAGCTATACCTTCCCGTTTTGTTGAAGTGTGAGCATTGGCCTAATCGCCCTTAAGTGGATTAGACATAGTCACCTTATATCGAAATGTCAATGGAACATCTACTGTTTCTCTGCCAGAAAAATAAATAGAACCCACTCACATCTGCAAGCGTACCAGTACGCGCCAACGCGTGCCCTTCTCTTCACCAATGACCCAACGGCATAGCTCGAACGCATAGCGCGTCTGGCTAAGACAAAAGGATGCTCGGTAAGATGGGCGGAGAAGTTCCTCGGTGCGAATGGGTCGGGCAAGATTCGAGCAGGCCTCTGCGTCTGTCCAAGGGTTACCAATAGGCCTGCTAAGTCAATCACCTCACGGCACGTAACTTCTATGTCAATCTTCATCCAAGGTGTGGAATGATAAAGCTATTTTTTTCATCTCCAGCATCCATGAAGGAAGAAAATGTATTAGAGTGGTATTAGCCTATGCATCCATCCATGGGTTGGGCATAGGCCTGCGAAATCAGTCCCCCAAAACGTGCCCCCAGGGCATGGACCCCCAAAGTTGGGCATTCGAAGTTGGACTTTCTGTGGAATCGACAACCTATCAGCTATTCACGTTCCTTCCGTTTTGTTGAAGTCAAGAGGAACATGAGAATGGCTTCGGCCTAAGCGTCCGTCTGAGGGTTAGACCTAGGCTTACAAAATGAGAACCCCTGGAAAGAGCCCCCAGGGCACTTACTCCCAAAGTTGGAATTTTTCAGAGTCAGCAATCTAACAGCTGTGTGTGTACCAAGTTTCAGCCTCTCATCATGTCTAGAACATGGTTAGAATTAGCGTCATTCAGTCAGTCACCATTGTCNTCTCATCATGTCTAGAACATGGTTAGAATTAGCGTCATTCAGTCAGTCACCATTGTCTATATATATTAGATATGGTATGATATGGTAAATTTATACTAAATATAAAAACGATATATAAAACATAAACACAATTACAATAAATTAAATTAAAATTACAATAGCAAAAGAGCACAAAAAGAAAAAAAATATATTATTCCGATAGTGGCCCTAATTCAGGTCTGAAAGGGTATAAGGGATGAACATAGCAGAATTCTAATATCTTTTTAAATGCCGTCCGTTCCAAGCTGACCGCGGCCCACTCAAGGTGGACCAAAGTATCCGTGCAAACCTCATATTTAAAAAAATCGGAGACTACTGGCCTAGGAGTCATAGCAACATTCTGCCAGAGAGCCTGGATAATTTTATTTAGGGCAGGGCGAAATTGATTTTTCATAAATGGATATCGCAGGCCATAAATATCACGCGATATTGCGATATCGCCTGAGTTCAACCGTGGATGGGGCAAGTATGAAGGTCCATTCACGTAAGAAAAAAGCACTTAATTTTGGCAATGGATTTCAACATGCTGGAATGAAGGCATTAGAATACAGTAGAGTCGCTCACATGGGACAGAAGTTCTCGAGCGAGGCCGGCAAACGACGGAGACTACCTCTCATTATTTCTCCACCAAATTAGTGCATCATTGATCTCAATTTCTCCACTTTTGTCCTTGATGTAATACTACATTTTCTCTCGTGGCTCGCCTTCTGCATGTTCCAAGCTGTCCGTGTAAGTTAGTAATGTCATAATTCCCTTGCATGGCTTCCTTTTAGGAGGACATGGCGGACTGACGGAAGCTGGATCGTCAGTCTTGAAATGCAATTTTGAAGGAGATATGAGTCCCTGAGTTGTTTCCAAGGTGATCCGTTCTTCCTCATTAGAAAGGCAGGCCAGGCCTTTTAAGCCTGGGTCAAAGAGACTGCGCAGGTCAAAAAGACAAGCAATCTGGATCATCTTGATATCGTTGAGAAATTGAGATTGAGATGCTTTCATCGTTTGAATCTGATAAGGTACAAGATAAAGATATGTCAAATCACGAGTGTGCTTACTTGCTTCTCAGACATTGTTCCATATCGCGTCTGGAGATTTTCCCTGACACGGACCTTAAATTCACGAACAATTAGTGTCCTCTTTTCCGGGATAAGACGGACATCCTGGAAAGAAAAAAATGAAGTCTCTCTTGGAACATCGTTCTCCTTTCCTAACTAATAAGCTACGCGTTGACAGGTGTCGCCCCAGAGGCAATTATAAATATAACCATTCTAATTAAGCCGGGAAAAAAATCCACTCACGGAAAGCTCGAGTAGCAAGAAGGCAACAACCGAGATTGTCACGTAATTCTCTATGGTCAGTCTCTGAAGACATTCGCTGATAGGCCCTAGAACCTAACGTATAAAATAAAAAGAACAACTGTGTCTATCAGCATTGCACCATGCTGATGAACTAGGTCGTATGAATACTTTTCTTTCCTGAGCTTACAGAATTTCAATTTTATCGTGGGAAAGATTCAGTTTCAGGTGTCCCATAAGGAATATTGATTTTCTCAGCCCGCCTGTCTCCCGCTTCTTCACGGGTGGGATTCAACAGAAACAGAGGGGAAAGAATTATTTTCTACAAGTTTTATTTTCCTTCCTCTGGTCCCAGGAAATTGGGGTGAAAAATCCTAAACGAGTCCTACGTGATAATTAGCTCTTCTGTATATTGGATGTACAGAAGGATACTATTTTATTGATTTTCACTCACTTTAGTTAACTCCTCAGCCTGGAATCAGTCTTCCGGGTCAACTGATAAGATCGAACTTCATGCATGCCTTCTTTTGTCCATTAATGCCTTCACTGCTTCCTGAATGGCAATTAACATATCATATAGTCCAGCGCGTGGGAACATCCTGTTTGAGTTCCAGGTCCGTGAGGTTCTTCTTCATTTTCCTGAAGTTCTCTTTATCTGTTGGACTCGTGCGGGAAATGCCCAACTATGTTCCTACAATTTACAAGAAGATTTGAGATCCTGGCGTTCTGCTGTTCGAGACCTGCTTTAATTGTGAAATTCGGCATTTTTTCGATGAACCCCTATTAATACTCGTGTATCACATTGAATCCACATTGAATCCACATTGAATCAATGTTGTCTCTATGTGATATGCTACTAGGGACGATACACATGGGATATTCATCGATGAGCAGGCATTCCGAATGTTCCTGGCATTACCAGCCACGATCACTCGCACCTTTCCGGTGGAGCCGTAATCATCCAACACAGACTAAAGATACTTGATATTGTCGGAAGTGTTTGAATCATTGCGTTAAAACGCTCCTAGCGTGCAATGCTTTAGGGTCCAGGATCTATCCGCAAAATGTGAAGTCACTCCGAAGTACTGTAGGCATCGTTGCCTGTTGATGTCCACTGGTCAGTTGTCAGAGGCACGTTTTCCTGACTGGACAGTATCTTCTTCAGATTTTCCTGGAACACTCGTAATATACTCGTATTTAGATGGTCCTGGTCATCTTCTTTCTAGAAGAGATCACATATCTAAGGAATCTCTTCGCCACGAAAGTCTGGTTTCTCCACAGTATTAATTGGGATGGAGTTTTGCGTGAACCTTTTTGCATCATCAGTTAGGGACTGATTTCCCTCCCAACCCGAACCTTCCCTTCCTTTTCCCTCCCTCTCCGCTTCATCTAGGCAGGAGAAGTTGCAAAGAATGATTAAACAGTTATTCTAGCGGCAGGACTCGACTTATCACCACATTCAAATTGATTATGCTTGCGCATGATGCAAGAGATTGGTCATATTCTGAGAATATGCCATTTCTTCCTTGCAATGAAGACGGACTACTTTTCCATATTCCGAGTGTATATTGCATCCATAACAAAATCTTAATGCATTCCACACCATTGACTTTCCAGGAGGGTGAGGTATGGGTTTACAATCAGTCTTACGGCTCTCCTGCATCCGCACTGCACTCCGAAGCTCAAAAATGGAACTTGATTCGATGACGCTCAGGGGCTAACTGAAGCAGAATGATTAATTTCATCAAATTCCTCAAGGAAATTTCCCAAGAAAAGAAAGCAGTAAGGGAGGATTATAATAGGATTATCCCCTATCTCCTGCCCTCATCTCATAAATTTTGTCAAGGCCGATACCCGATCCCTTCAATGTCCAAACTCACTACCCACTCCAAGACATTTAAGTGTAAGCTCTACACTTAATTTCCAAATTGAAAACTGATACGTGCTCTCGCAAAAGTACACTCACGCACCCCTATAAACAATATATCAATGAATTACGGAATTGAAGCTCCTTCTTCATTGAGTGAGGTACCAAGTTCATTATCAAGTACTAGTCAGTACTTAATATCTGTATGTCATAAACGGCAAAATCGATCGCAAAACCACGAAATCAACCCAAAGAGATTTTCATCACGAGCCAATACACCAAGGGGATCTTCCTATATAGGGCGCGTTTTCATGCAAATCGAGCAAAACTTTTGCGCCATAGAGTCCCATTATAAAGGTATGGTTACATTCTCTAAAGCCAGCTGGTGAACGTGTCCCAAGAAATAGAGGAATAGGCCCTGTAAATGAGACCCGACCACCTCCTGTTCCCTATTAGCCGGTCATCCAGGATGATTGTGGCGAGAGCCTCCATGGATGTGAAGAGCAGAGGGCGAGCATTCCCCTCGAGGAATCCACGTCTAGGCAGGGGAGGAAGGGAAGGAGAAACGCGAAGAAACCAAACAAAGAAGGCCTTTTCCTTCCATGGCGTGGAAATGACGACTTCGTTCGAAAATGAATTCTGTATTCGATTATCTATATAAACAACTGGGTATGCTCCAGGGCATATAATCGGGAATGTAAATTCTCTAGCGCGTCATGTACAGTTTGTTGAAGAAAGCTCCTGCGATATCGTGTCAAAGACATATCTCGGCCTGCAACACAGTGGCAAAGGGAGCCGATAGAGAACCTAAGATTTGACCTCTGATTTGAATAGAGAGAAGTTAATTCAATTGGACGGGTATCGGGGAATCATTTGTCGGTGAGCCATGCAGCTTTCCACGATGAAAACTGCTTCGTTTTTCTGGTCCAATCATGGCCCTCATTTCATCGAGAAAGTATCCAAAGGTTTCTATAGTGAGACCACCATTCATCATCTTCGAGCGTACTGAAATCCATGTGTGGGAGTAATCACAGCAATTAGAGTCATGTTCTCTTTGAGCATCTACCCAGTCCGGTCTCTTCGATGGGCAAATATGAGAAAGCCTAACTGCAAAAATATTTCAGTGTGGAAATTGAAGCAGAAACCCTCGTATTGGGAATTGAATAATTGCATGCTTTGTTTTTGGTTAATAGATTCATGTTGACCGTTTTACTGAAAGAGACGCCAAAATCTCTTTCCTGTGGATGGGTGGATATCTATCGATAGACCCTGTTCCCTTCCAAACAATAATGTTTTGACGCTCGTGAGGAAGTTTCACTTGGTGTTCCTCTCTATCCTGAGCCATCTTTCAAGTAGTATTCATCTTTCTCAGAGTATGTTCTTTTATGCAAGTTATACCGAAAATTTTCTTTCACATTATTACAAACAGGTCAGAGAAGAGAGGCCATCCTGAAATAAGTCCATGGAAAAATGGGGAAAATGGGGAAAAGGAATTGGGAAAGATTTTGTCTTTTACTGTCTGCTTTCTCATTGCCGTCTGGATATGAATTCCTTTCGGGGGAATGCCCACCCTCACCTTATTACTTCCGTGGAGGAGGTTCTCCCTTCCCAGCACTCGGTTTCAGAATCAAGTCGGTTGGTATACTTGGAAATGCCATCCGTGAAGACGTATTGGGTAACGAATGATGCGATCTATTTATTCTATTCCTGTCACCTAAATGTAGAATTTTCGCCCTCCGTGACTTCCCCTTGACCTAGAACTGACAATTCCCTCGTTCACTTTCCTGTCCCCAGGAGAAACTGCTAGACCTCATCGATGAAATGGTGGAGGTGCAGAAAGTATATTTCCTGGACAGGCGATTATGTCTAGAGGAGGAGGATGACCGTATTCAGGGAAGAAACAAAGTCATGTGAAGCTCGGAGTTAGAGTAATTGTTCAGAGGAAGAACTGAAGGAAGGGATCATGAGTCTGTTGCATTTTGACCATGAGCGCGTTAGGATTCCTCTAATGAGAGAGTCCCCCGCCCCCCCCCCCCCCCCCAAAAAAAAAAAAACTTATTCCCCGGCATAGACGGATTTTAGTTCCTTACAATTAAATAAATTAGGTAACAGGAGCCATGCTCAAGAAACGCAATGTCTAGGAAATATGGAGAGAAGGTAATTTTAGGCTATTTGGAAATGAAGACGAGGTTTATGACCATCGTGGGCCTGTCACTTTCCATGACAGGTCTGACATGGGGAGAAAAGCCTGCTACCAAGATCTCAGAGTATGTTATCTACACTATGATGCGACTTTGTTTATGTTATTTTAAGTCATCTTTTAAATCTCATTTGTGTGCATCGAGGAGCATGTCTCAAATAGGAGAACGGTGCAAGAGAATTAGAGTGTTTTGCACCAAATTAGCCAAATATATATTTTTTAATTCGGACAACGACATAATGTTTTGAAACTGAATGACCACCTCAATGTCTCGAGGCGATGAATGCAGAACGCGGAAAGTGAAGGGAGGTGCAAAAAATGGGAAGTTCGTTCTCCTCGATCAGATGAGAGACCCGATGGAGGTAGATGGATTTTTAAGAAATACTATCCATCGGAGTGAGCCCTGATGGGAAAGAGGGTCGGGGAGACGCCATGCGACATCTATGCAACGCCTTCGCCCTAGCTCATTTTTCAGGAAGGGTAGGACCCCCACTTAAGGGTAAGGACTGTCAGATACAGCTGCTTCTAATGCCTCAGGAGGGCAACGTCTTTTATCCAGTACGTATTGAGTTTAACTCGATCCCAAAATTGTCCAACACCCCACTACCTCAAAGAAAAATAGGACATCTAATCGAAAGCCTCATTAAACCATCAATATACCATATACTCGTATATCGGTCTCGTTTTGAATATAAAAATTACCGAGAAATTCCAGGACTGAAAATCATGTCGACCATGTCGAAATGCCTTTCGCAACCCCTTACCCTGTACCTCTCCTCAAGCAAAAAATGTATTGACTCCGGCTCAGGGTTAGTCCGAAAATGGGAAAAAACGCTCAACATTTCCCCCGTTTAAATTGGTGACGTTTATTTTGTAACATCCTTGATATTTCTTGATTTTCACTGTAATATTACAAACAGAAAGGCCGGGGTTTCTAAATCAAGTACTTGAGAGATCGGTCATTCCGTCTGCTGCAGTACCACGGAATGAAAGGATTTTCTAAGGATGCTATTTTAGTAGTAGTCCCAATCTTTCCCATTTCTGGCCTTTTTGTACATATAGTACCACAGAACAGAAGCTTCTTCGGTGGGGCTCATCTACATATCTATCCATTTATCAACAGAATTGAAAGATGGGGGCCACTTATGTTCTGATGAAGTAGAAAATGTCAAATTTGACGCGAAGATTTAAATGTGGAAAGCGAGCATTATTTCAGGTAACCTCGATCCTCCCAGCAAGGGAATAATTTTCGATTTTTCGTGAAGTCCCCCAAATGGGCAGACCAGAAGGTGAAAAATATTTTTAGGTGATATCTTCCATGAAATAAGATTCCGTCCCCTTCATTCTGATGGAATCAGGAACTTGTTCCTGATCCCCTTTTTTCCTTGGAGGCCTTTGGGCTGAGTATATCAAATGTTAATTTTCAATCTATTCAGATATATACACCTGTTGACCCTCATTCACAAATCTCGTACGTTCATATTTCTTCGCATTCATTATGCATGCTCACATCATGATTGCAGTTATGGTTTTCGTGGTCTCAAAGATGTCGCTCAAACATTCAACATATTTTGAAACCACATTCACGAATCGCGATCGTGATTTTGAAATTGTTTGGATTGCTATCATTTATCAAAATATTAAACGAACTTGATACTAATTGTCATCTTAACGCATTACAATACCACAATAATTGGCAAGTGACCCTTTTCATATATTATCTCTTGGAAGTGTTACGACCTTCGTTATATTTTTTACCACTCACTTCGTATCCGGTCAGGTCCAGACGCCCTCTACTTAATGTTTATCCTGTTCACGTTGTAGATCCCACCTGTGTTCAAAACCGTGTTTGGGTACAACGGTGTCATCGACGGGGCGCCCCAGCCATCCATCGGACCTGACGGACCCATGGATTGGCGGACGTCCATCTTCACACACTTTCTAAAAGATGATAGCATGACCAACTCAAATTTAATCCGGTCATCCGTCGTCCCCGGCAGCGAGATCATGAAGTGAGCTCGTATTCGTGCTGTTGCTCTATCGCCTTCGAGCTTTCGCAGGAGGTTACCTTATTGAGCTCTTGATGTTTCTGGAAATCGAAGGTCACCACCTTTTCTCGACGAATTCACTCGAGTGTAACTCTCCATATTAGCGTGATTGTGTTAGAAATAAGCTGCGGAGTATTTTGAGTTTCTTTTATATTTCCTTGTCATTGTTTGCTCAGTCATCCAAAATAGAGGTGGTTTCCTGTTTTAAAATATTCAATTTCAAAGAAACCCTTGGCTCATTTGAGCATCGCTCAATGTGACCCAAAGTTCCACTTGCATCAGAGTTTACATTGCACATTACCTTAAAATCATTTAGATTAGAGCGTCGCTTCATGAACTAAGTTACTGTCGTTTGCGGACGCAGAAAGGAATGCATAGGGTAACTTGGGGGAATAGGGCAATAGAGGTAATATGGCCCTTCATAATTAAACCCCCGGCAGTCTGAATAATTACTTTGAGCGAATTAAAAAAATTAGTCTATCGAAGAGTATATGCAATTTTCGAATTGTTTAGACCTGTTTATCAATCCAGTTCTCACAGGAATTCGGGATTCATCCATGTTTATCAAGTCATTTCTATGCTATTCTTTAACTCATGACCCTTAAACTAATAGGAGGACTTAAGCGTATATTTCCTAATAACAGCATGGACACAGAAATAATTTCTTCAAAGTTATTCTATGGTCCCTCCAGAATGGTTTTGGAAAGCGCGAGTCCCTTCACTTGCGGTTTGCAGACAGTATTGCCAATTTTGTCATGCTAGCCAATATGGGGAAATACTGTACAGCGGCAAAAGATCATCCATTGCACTTCCTCTATATATATCTATCAACGTACTGGACATCTGAACAAAATATGCAGTACATGCTGAGGCTGTGCGCGAGGATATGCTCATGCACCGCCTCTTGGACATCCGCTTGACTTACTCCGGAAATTTTCGTGGCACGAAATTTGAATGAAAGTGAATTTCCCTTGAACGGAAAGTTAAAATTGTATTCTGTATTTTTCCTGGCACTATTTATGCATGCATGAGAAAACTACGCAACGTTTTCCTGGCATGTAAACCCTCTTATTTCACAATCGTAGCGCATGTTCACTTTGATTTATGGTTATCACTCCTCTTACACCCACAGTCTCTAGATACTAGTACAGTCTACCAATCGCGAGAAATGCTACTCAAAGCCAAAAGTGCTTCAATCCTGCTTTCCACAACAGGTCCTTGAGTCAGGTAGTGATTTTGACTTCTTTGCCTATCCTCAATGCAGCTAATGTGTTTCTTTTTCAACTGCATAGCCTCACTTTTAATGTCTCAAGGTATTCAACAAGTTCCAGCATATTTCACACGTACCTTGCAAACCTTGAGTTGTTTTTTGAGAAGTGGCCATATTCCCCCAACAATAGGGTTAATATGGCCTCTTGAGACCAATTTGCAGAGGATCCAAAGGCGCAATATCTATGCGGTTATTTGCATATGCCTTGCTGGGATTTATTAAAGAAGATATCAATCAATATTTTAGAAACAATACAATTTTAATTCTACCTTGAAGGGCCGTTACGACCAGGTTTCATTTTTTTAGGGCCATATTCCCCAAATTACCATATGCATTGCAAAACTTAATTATATAGTGCTGAAATCCAAGCTTTAGCTACACTGTACATATTACGGACTTCAGGTACGCATCTTTATGCACTTGAAAGTTATTTTTCCTGGATTTCTTACTTTTTCCTCCTGCGTCAGCATCCTTGAGGATCCAGAGACGGTGAACAAGCTAATGACTGAGTTTCGAAACAAGGATCTGTTCCTGTCATCCCTCTCAAGTAACGATACTCCGGAACAGAAGAATGAGATGGAGCCATTCGTGTGGGCCCTGGTGGGTGTCTCAGCTGTGCTCTTGGTTCTCCTCATTGCTGGTGCCTTCGTCTACTACGTCAAATTCTCCCAGTTCGTTTACCTTCTTCCTCCCCTTTTATTCACTTGTCTCGACCAGAGCCACCACATAAAACCTAGACTAATTCCTTAGGATAGAGAAATGAAACTCGAATTTTCTAAATTCTACTTGATAATGCGTTGTGATCGCTTGAATTGCAATTCAATTTGTGCTTATAGCCGAGGTAGTTGCCATAAAACCAATTTTTGGAAGATATGAAGCTTCTGGAGACCATAAACTTGCAGTAAGTCTGCAAAGGAAAGTCCTTCGAGCGCGGAGGAAGGGAGAGAGAAAAAAAACCTCCAAGAGGAGGGAAGAGGAAATGCTAACGACCTATTTCCTTTCAACGATAGTCAATAAGATAATTTTTGAATGTAAAAGGTCTGGAATCTGGATTTAAGAGGGGTGGGGGTTCCACCATGCTGAAAAATACTTCACGAGATCCTCTTGGGATTTTCGTACAGAGATCTCGTGAAATTTAGCTAATGAGGCTTTCTGATGTGTGCTTCACATCAACCCTATGTCGAAAGTTTTGAGGAGTAATCCTTATGAGATCATCTTACCAAAGATCTTACCTATACATGGCAAAGTGGGTGGGGGGAGTGTCCTTTTCACTCACAAATCGTATTTATGTTTTCTGTGCTTCAGAAAATTTTTGAACATTCTATCTGGTTATTATTTAGAACCTATTTTAAAATATCCTGGAAAGGATATTGACATTTTTAAATGTATTCTATTCTAGCAATTCTTATATTATGCGTCTTCTCTCTAGAGAGCCAATCCATTTATTACGTTTCCTTTTGATTCAGCACATGTTACGTCCTACGTAGCATGAGCTGAATCAAACTACGTAACTACTTCCTACTTCACCAATATTTGCAGATAATAGGCACCCAAACTGGGGGGCATGTGATCTGTAAATCCACGTTTCGTAAGTAATCTGTAAATCTGTAAATCCACGTTTTGTAAATAATCTGTAAATCTGTAAATCCACGTTTCGCTTACATTCTGCCAACATAGGTCCTATGTTCGTAGAACAGATGCCCCATACATTTAATGAAAAACAACGTTGGACAAACTTGACAAGCTCAGTTCCACATCCAGCTGTCCTTCCCAATTTGTATGCAATTTAGGCACAATGCCTAATGCCAGAGAAACTACAGCAAGAGCTAGTCCTAACCCTAATAGATGATTGTAAGGAACAAAAGAAAGGCATTAATCCCAGCAGGAAGGGAAAAGGGAACGGCTCGCACACACCAACACGCACAAAATAATAATTAAAATTTTCACGGAGAATACATGTATGTCGCTGATACCTCAAAGATATATTCTTCTCTATGAGAAAAAATCCCCTGGCAAATGAGTCTTTTAGCGTTTTCAGCAATCACTAAGAAGCAATTCCAATTTCTACTGGATCCAAGACTTAAAGGAAATGAAATCTCTTCATGCGTCATACATGAAAGTACATCGTGATGACCTGCTTCATTTTTGGAGACCCTCATGGGCTTCCCGGGGTTTATAGGTTACTAGTAATTATTTTAGGACAGGGGTGTGAAATTCGATTGGACTGGGGGTCGAATGGAAGCCTCCAGTAGTGATTAGGGGCCACGTCTAAAATGTAACTTCTTATCTTTAATGCCAACAGGCTGAAATTTGCAGTAGTTTTCCCTTATCAACTGTTGAAGAGAACTTCGCGAGCTGGACAAAATGAACTGGCAGGCCGAGACTGACCAGTAAGTCGCCAGTTTCACACCCCTATTTTTGGAGAACCATTTGAGTTTCATGTAGGGTTTTAAAAGATTTCATGAGTTACTCAAGGTTTCATTGGGTACTGATGATGGGGACTTGCAATCCAGCTTCATGAGATCATCATGAGGAACCTTCACAATCCCCATTAAATTGCCGTGAGATCATATGAGTACTCTCAATCCTTGAGAAGAGATCGTGATATCCCATTAGAACCCATGAGTTTCTGATGAGGTTTTGTCAGCAGGGCAGACCCATAGCGTCTCCTCTTTTAACATTCTAAAAAAAATGGGTCCTCTAACTTGCGTGCATCATGTATATATATTTACTTGTCTCTCTCTTCCCCCTACCTGCCTAGTATATTTATTTATTTAACTTATTTATTGTAGATTCCTAATCACAAATGTAGCCACGTTGCGCTCCAGTCAAAGGACCAGAATTGATTCATTTTTGCCTTCAGTTAAA